GTATTTGTTTTATATTAGTTTATTTTGGCTCTCATAAATATTTACATTCCTGCGTGTAGTTTACTAAGACTTACTTATCGGAGTCGGATCCGGGATGTCTGGATTGAGTGATATAGTCTTGAATTAGCTACGTCTGTGCAAGATTTTTAACGATACTAACTATTCTCTTGTATACTCATTTTTCACAGCAAAGGCATGGACTTGATAATATATAGAGACTTACATAAATTACATATAGATATACATGAACTATTTGTGCGCAAGTGATATGTGTACTTGGGTGCTTAGTTGGTGTATGTTCCCTAACTACATCCTATCGCTATTCGGTGATATCTAAGGTATTATGGATGAAAAAGGTGGAGCGGGTGGGTAAGTAGAAGGAAATATGGATGAGGAAGTGTCTCCACTTCATCGTCCTTTTATACTCCTATTGTAAGTAGGAGTATGAAAAGAACGTAGAGTAGGACCGTAATGTCTTACCACAAATATGTGGGTTACTGTTAAATAGTTAAATTATTTAACAGTAACGCACAATTAGTGGATGACTTTACTGGTGCTACTCTCTGTTCCATAATACTATTAGAATGCAAACATTCCAGAATAGTATTTGTTTCTACAACTACTTGAAAAGTCCACACCGAATTACGTAGGGGGCTCTCTTAACAAACAACTGTTGAATCTGCGGTCAGCGTCGGAAGCGGTAGTGACCGAGCGATAGCTCTCCAGCGATTTTATATCGATGCTCATGATGCCGGCGATGATATCGTCCGGCACCCTCATACTGAATGCACTCTGTGAGAAGCCGCGACGAAACGCGTGCAACTGGATATGTTTATCGGCTGTGTCGACAGCAAGTCCAGCTCTTATGAAGTACTGACGTATGGTAATTATACCTACTTCATCAGTGAGGTTATTTAGAGCGGTCGCAGGCGCCTGTAGGCTGTCAGATGAACGGAATGCATCGGGTAGATGGCGTTCTAAAAAGGCATACGTAACGCGATCGAGGGGTCGGGTGATGAGCTTGGCCACCTGAGAGCGTTCTCATCGTTTCTTCTTCTTGAGATCGATAAGGAGTGTGTGCGATGCTGGAACAAACGTAAAGGAATCGCATGCGAACGTTCGGTTTGTATCTCTTCTGGCCCCGGAGAGCCATAAGACTGCGATGAGAGCGCGCCAGTTCGCCGGAAGTCCTGTTGCATCCAAGACCTGAGCAAGCCATGTGGCAGAAATACGAGGCTTGTCGGGTGTGGTAGGGGGGTTTCCTTGGTTCCACAGGGAGATATACCCCTGTACTGCTCGTTGCCATGTCGTGTCGTCCGGAGGGATCAGACTATGCCTGCAGAAGCTCCTGGGATGCTCCGTTCTCTCTCCATTTCGCTAAGACACTTCTTACATTGCAATACAGAGGGGCATTCGGATCGCCAAATTGGAATTATGAGGACTGCTCGGCGTAGTCGTCGGTCGAGTTGCTCGAGTATCTGGCCCAGCATTGTCTCTGGTGGAGCGAGAAGCTCCAAGGACTGGTCCCACTTGTCGTAGAACCTGTTCGCGAACGATACATGACCGTGGTGTGCCTTTTGGGGGTAGTAGCTG